TTTTTAAAGGCCTTATATCTAAAGTCTTAATTGAAACAATTCATAATTACAATATACTTACTAAAATAGCTTTAAAAACTATTATTTAAATATTTTTTAATATTAATAATCAAATCTATATTAAATATAAAAACTTATTGTATTAACTTCTTTAACAAAAAAAAATAATAATATTATATCTCTTCAAACTTTTAACAATTACAATACTCTAAAATAGATACAACAAACTAGACATCACAAAAGATTACATATAGTGATCTGCATGGGCCTAAAAATTTAAACTTTTGTTAGCTTGATCAGTTTGCAAAATAAAATTTACTATGTTTTTTAAAAGTTCAACTTACATTTTATTATATTTATATCTTATTAGGCCTACAATTTTGAGAGGTTTTTAAAATTTTAAAATTTTGGCCCAGCCTATGCAGGCCTCTAATTATATACAAATTATACATACTTATGTCTATATAGAATAGTAGATTAATTATATTTATATTCTAATACTTGCCTACTGATTAAACAGACTATTAGAAAAAATTAATATATAATTAACATTCTGAATTAATCATAGTATGTTTTATAATTATATTCTAATATTACAAATCTAAGTAGACCTTGATCACTTTAGTTAGTTTAGGTCACAAATAAAGTCATCTAAGCTTTAATTCTTATATGAAGTTTTTATTTTATTTTTTATTTTTTTTAAAATTAAGATAGTTTTTATTTTGTATTTTATAATCTTAGTATATCTTTAATATATAATATATTAATATATATAACTAAAATTACTAATAAAAATATAAGCAAGGCTTTACCTTAATATTAAAAAAAAAATAATTTAATTTTTTTTTATAATAATGTAGCTAATTTTTAATAATATAATAGTATATCTTAAACTATTTTCTAGGCAAATTTGTCTAGATTTTTAAATTAAATTTAGTATTATTTTTTTAATATTAAAGATAAGTACTTATAATTTAGATTTTTATTGATAGTATATTTTAGCTTTGTGATTATATTATAACAGTTACAAGAGGCAACTATAAAAAAAGTATACAATTAGCCATTTATATAATTTTAGTCATTGTTTAATTTAAGTAGTTTATTTAAAAGTTTTATACTAGCTGTTATATCTAAAACCCACTTATGAGTCTTCTATTTAAACATTTTGGTTTTTTATTTATCTATCTACCTATTTTACCAACTGTTTTAGTTTTCATCAGTGCAAATATATCATGATTACTAGGTTTTTAAAGCAGTTTATTTATATAAAAATCTTTAATCTTGTAATAAACTTATTAAAGCCTTCTATTATCTAATTTCTAGCTGATCTGATATTATTATAACTAAGACCAACACTTGTAGTTAAAGTAAACTTTAAATTACTATATTTTTGTAGAGTTTATATAACTCTAATACCTCTTTTTACAACCTTATTAGTACTTTGTATGCTCTTGCAAGTTCTTTTATATTACCAATTTAGTTAGCTCTATATGATGTAACTTCATACTTAGTTCAACCAATAGCCAGATTGGTGAACCTCTTTATTTAGAATTCTTGTTTGTACAGATTATTTGTTTCAGATTTCTGTCTCTAGATTAAGATTTTTATAGATAATATCATTAAAGATCATAATACTTCTTTATTTAGAATTTGTAAACAAAACTTCTTATTATGTATATATTTTTTGAATTTATTTATATAACATTGTATATTTTTAAAGTTAGTTATAATACAATCAGAATTACAAAGTTATAATCTTAAATACTTTAAATAAATTACCAGAATAAGATTATTTTTTTAAATTTTTATTGTAAATAGAATTTAAACTCTAAACCTATTGCTTGGAAGATTACAATCCAACCATTATACTAAAATTACTATTTTTTAAATTTAGTATTTTTTAAATAATATAATAAATAATTAATAATATGAAGTACAGTTTATTTATAAAATATTTTATTGAAAATATACTTTATAAACTTTATTAGAAAATTTTTTTAAAATTAATAAAAAACTTTTAAATAATAAAAATTTAAAGATTTTTTTTATAAATTTTTATTATAAAAAATTTTTTTGAACTTTTTAAGATTTTATATATTTCTGAATTTAAAAAAAAAATTATTCTTAATACAAATCTAAATTTTTATAAATAAATTAAAAAAATTATATTAATAAAAGTTATCATTTTTTATATAAGCTATAATATTATATTAAAAACTATAAGTTTAAAATTAATATTTAAAAAATTTATCAAGAATTAGTAAATATTTTTTTTGATTAAAAATTTTTTAAATTTGTTTATTTATAGTTTATAAGTAACTTAATCTTTTTTTCTTATAATATAAAATTAAATATTACTATATTATAATTTTTATTTTTAAATATTATTAAACAAAATTTTATTTAAATATTTTAAAATTTAAAAATATAAATCATAAAATATTTTTATTAATTTTTTAGACAAATTTGCTTAAAAATGATTTATAGTTTAAAGAATAATAAATTTTATAAATAGTAATATTAGTATTAGAGTTTTTCAGATTTAAATCAAATCAAATATTAGGTCAATTTTTTTTTTTTATTATATAATATCAAGTAAGAAAAATAATAATACATAAATATATAAATAAAATATTCCTAAACTACACTATTGTTGCTATATATATAATGACATCTAGTATAATATTAACTTTTAATTTTCTGTTTTAGTTAAATCAACTATTGTAATCATTAACTACAAAGGAGTGTAAAAAGAACCTTTAAGATTATTTAATTAGTAAAAGCAAGTATATATAATAAAATTTTGAGAAAGGTTTTAAAAATAAATTAATCTATATTAATATTGAATGTAAATATATTATTATTGGAGTTAAAAAGTTATATAATAGGTAATCGAACATTGTTTTTCCTTTTAATAAGAGTATTAATTTTTTATACTGATTCCCATTCATATTATTTAGTATTACAAATTTGCCAGATAGTTAGATTAAATCAATTGAATAAAGAGTTAGATAAGAAGAGAAAAAAGTTGTTAGTTAGTTTTTTTAAAATTAGTTAAAGTTGTTTATATTAGTCGAGTGTTATTATGTCTTAAATAAGTAGAAGTATTGTATTATATATAGTAGAGTTTAAAGAGAGATTTTGTATGTTGAGAATTTGAATTATAGTATATGGTAAATTAAATCAATTTGAATTTGATCAAATCAAATATACTCTTATTTTGATTTAATTTGATTAAATATTTAATCAATAAAGAAAATACTTAATTTACAAAAATTTTATTATACTAATTAATTTTAAGCATTTAAGTAAACATATTTATTTAAATAAAATACTTCTAGTTTTATAGAACAAAAAACTTAATTGTCTTAATAAAATTTTAAGTAAATAACTTATATTTTTAAATGTACAATTATAAATTTTTAAATTAAATCAATTATTTGTCAAATTAAAACAAATATGATTATATAATATTTGAATTTGATTTGAAAATTTTGATTTAAATTTGATTTAAACTCAAATATTTGATTAATTCAAATCAAATTAAATCAAAATGCAGAATGCTAATTAGTATATATTAAAGTTAATAAACATTATTTAAAGAAGTTCAACTAATCTAAATAGGTTTTGAACCATTCTAATAAGTTTAGATCACAAATAGTTTGTTTGAACTTTTAATTTTAATATCTTTTAATTATGAAATTTAAAGCTTAATTTTTTCTGTATATTTTTTTTGTAAAAAATTTAACTAACTTTTAATAAAGATAAAGGCATGATCTCATCTTAATATTAAAAAAATAATCAAATAAACTCAGAACTAATAACTTGGATTAAAACAACCTAACTACTAAAATATAATTATTATAACTTGTTATATTCTTTTTTAAAAATACTTTATAAACTATAAAAATAATATTAAACTAAATAGCCAATCAAATACAGTAATTCTTTTACGCTTCTACTTATAATTAAATACAAAGCAAACTTGTTTAAACAAATATATTGTTAGATTTAAGTAACTAATATGAATTTATATAACAGCTTAAAATTATATTAAAATATGCCGTTTCGTTCTTTTAATCGAATACAATATATAAATGAAATATAGTAGTACATTAATTAAATAACCATTATAATTATTAAATTTAGGATTAGTTTCTGTAAAAAAATAATTATCATCTAATGATTCACTTACTAATCCTTCATATGCAGTTTTCGAGTAAAAGAAATTTTTTTTAAATATAATTATAATGACAATCGTCCAATGTTTATAATATGATATCATATATTATATTGAGTATAAAAAAAGTTGTCTAGTAATGTAATTATGTCATTAACTGCAACTCGATTGCCTACACTACTAAGAGTGTAGGGATGAATCAGTCCGTCCCGGTCGGTCCAAGTCACTATAGGGCCGATTTTATAATGTTTTTTAGTCCGGTCGTTCCGTCTTTCGGTCCTAGAATCTGTCTCATGACTAACAATTTTTCAATGTATAATAACTATCCAAGTTGCAAATTCCTTTTTGAAGCTAATTCCTTAACATAGAATCGAATTTGCAGATTCATCTTTCAATCTGGATCTTGTTGGTGAAATAGTGAGATTGCTATGGAGAATGCTTGTTCCGAAACTACACTGGTAGCTTGTATAGTTAAATAATCTCTCGTGATTAAACTTAGATTCCGGACCGAGGACAGAGAATTATCCGATCCTCAGTCTTTTACCGTCCGGTCCCGGTCCTTACGAAGACTGATCCTATGAGAATGTCGTAAAGTGACTAATTTTATCGCAGAGAACATTGCATAAAATACTAAATCATTCGAATACAAAGAGTATAATGACACATTATTATAATTGAATAATTACGTTTTTAATTCATTCTATCGATCAAATGACTGATTTTGCTTAATAATATCTCATAAAAACCAATCTTGCACATTGAAAACCGTCAAAATTTTCTTACTGTTAATATTTCTCACTGTTAAATTCGCCTTTCAATAATGGCAGACATATTAAGCAAACCTAGACATGTTTCCCATACTTTGTATAAATTACATGATTGGATAGAGAAGGGAATGATAAATGTTAGTCCTGAATTTCAACGAGGTAATTCTTTTTTTTTCTTGGAATAATTAAAAAACAATAATAAAAAACTAACAGCTATTATTACTTTTTTTTTCAAAGATGTCGTATGGAAAGGTAGAATTTGATTTTAATCATCTGATATTAGCCTTGAGCAATGATTATAACAGTTTTAAAAACACCAGATATCAAACAATCGCACTTGATCGATTCTATCCTCAAGAATTATTACATTCCTCCAGTTATTTTTTCATGCAAGAAGATAGATGAAAATCGTTGGACGCGAATATGTATTGATGGAAAGCAAAGATTAACATCAATTCATAGGTTAATATAACTCAACGGGCATTATTTTTCTTTATTATTTATTTATTTAGTACATATTCATTTCTAATTGTCGCGTCGTTTATTATACATATATGATAGATTCATGAAAAATGAAATACCTCATTTGGTGCCTTCCCAGAGAGCTGTTTCGAAGCGTTACTTCTCGAATCAGAAAGGAGCAAAATTAATATCCGACACTGAGAGGGAGTTGTTTGAATGTTCAGAAATTGTTTGTAGTATGTATATAATATAATATTCCGCATATAAATTTTTACATACATGTACATATTTGTGAAAAAAAAAATTTTTTCCAATTACAATAGTTGAATATTATGATCTAACACAAATGCAAGAACGAGAAATCTTTAGTCGCGTTCAACTTGGAATTTCATTAACTCCAGCGGGTAAGGAAGATAAATGCTATATAATTAAACGATAATATGAGGGATGGAATTTCACATTTAGTCTACCTGTTTGTTTAGAAAAACTTTGGGCAATCAGTAGTACGATGTCAGATTTTTTGCATAGAACTTATGAAACTTACAAAGTTGTTGCACAGATCATGGATACAAAACGCGGGAAATTATTTCATGTCATGGCACAGCTATTTTTCATTATTGAAAACGAACCGGAAAAATTCAACGCAAGACCTAAAATCATTGAAAAATACTTGAGAAATACTCGTGAAATTCCAATTCACCTTCAGGAAACCATCAAACGTGTTTTTGACACAATGAAATTATTGATAGAAATCGATTCCGATATTTTTCAACAAAATCATCGGTTATCACCTATTGAATTCGTTTTCATTGCCTGGATTATCGCAAAAAATCCAAATATCTCTTTAGCCAAATATCAGGAATGTTTACTCAAAATGAAGAGACATGTAAGAGAACATCATGAAGATACACGGTTCAATGACAAGGTTTATTCAACATTGAAAAAATTCATGGATAATCTTGACCTGGAAGAATCTAATGAATCATCGTCTGATATCGATTCTCCTTCAAAGAAGCGAATTAAATCCATGTGACATTTTACATTTATATATACTTTTTTTTTCATCACTTTGCCAATTAATGTTGGCAATCAATTTTGGTTTGCATTATCCTATTTCTTATACTGCTTTATGTTTAGCATTTGTTTTGTGTCGATAAATAAAAAGCTTAAGTAGTAACATAATTATGCATTTCAATCTCATTTTTGGATCACATTAATGTAAGCTCAAAAAAATTTTTTTTCATAATATAGTTTAGAGGTCAAATTGGTCAAATTTTATTTTCTTATGAAAATCACCTGATTTTCACAAAACTAAGTTTGCTTACAAGAAATTTTTACAAGAAATTTTTATAACAAATTTTTATAACAAATGTTGCGTTTTCAAGCGCCTCAACCAATGAACCAAAAGTGAAGTCAGGGTTAAATTTTAATTAGCGAAAATATTTTAACCGATCAAACGTATCTCTATCTCAAAATTTGATTATGAAACTTTCTTTCCTTGCATATAACTGATTTATAAATGCTACGTGTATTATGTGTATTACATATGCTATACACACTATACAACTATACGTATTGTACACAAAAAAAATTCGGATATCATATAAATGGCACATCTATATACAGGACACGAAGTTTATTTAAATCAAAGAAAATTTTAAATATTGAAAAAATGAACAGCGAATTTATCATTCAGTCAAAAAACTTTTTATCCCGAACCACTTTTTCTTTGCACTGGCTTATTAAAACATTATAACCGTTAAAGAAAAGAGTTACTGTTCAAGCGTTTCCATATTTTTTAGTATGATCTTCATTACATATCACTAACATATTGCTGTTATTATGTTTCGTTTTAAAACCATTTAGAATCTGCTCAAGAGGTGATTGAGGTCTTTATTTGATCAATCGTAGAAATTATGAATCATTAAAATTATCAGAAAATCACAGTTAGTAACGGTAATACTCATGCATATCTTACTTGTGCACTACTACGTTATGATTTTCGTAAGTCGCACAAATCGATAAAGTTACAGTTTTAAAAATTTTGTCTAAAACTTTAGTTGAAATACATAGTGTTCCTTAAGACAAATTATTGCTGAAGTTTTTACGAATTGAATAGTATTGAGATTATATTAAATAAACCATTCCTTATAAATACTACACCCTTGAAAATGAGTAATTATTTTACATACTTTTGACGTATTTTTTTAAGTTTGCAAATTTTTTATATAAAAAATGTGTTACTAGATACACTATAAGGAGAGTTTTTGGTCAAAGTGAATCTTTGAAAGACAGGTACATTATGAAAATAATGCAGAAAATCCAGAAATCTATTTATAGTAAGTAGATTAATTTGGGTTTTTTATTTAACTTGATTTGCAAAAAAAAATTTTTTTTTAAAATTTTTATTTGATTTAAAGATAAGGTTTTAAGTACAATTATATCATACATGTATATTAAAAAAGTGTTTTATATATGATTTTTGCTTTTAATATACAGTCTACCCTCGTTTATATCAACCCATTTGGATTGGTTTTAAATTATGTTGATAGTGATATTAACGATTAAAGTTGATATATATGAGGGAATTTTGATAACAGGAGGAACCGTAGATGTTACACAAATGATCTTTCACCCGGTGTGCAACATATAAAAAAATTATTTACAATACCAGATCATTCCAATAGTACATGTTATGATTATAATCCAACATCATTTTTATTATAATAAAATGGTGTTGGATTATAATCATAACATGTACTATCGGAATGATCTGGTATTGTAAAATAATTTTTTTATATGTTGCACACCGGATGAAAGATCATTTGTGTAACATCTACGGTTCCTCCTGTTAATTTTAATATATAAAAATTTATAAAAATTTGATTTGTGGCTTAGATTGATATAGGGGTCAACTGTATATGTATTAGAATTATATAAATAATTACGATTTTTATATATAAAGTTTGTTTAAAAAAAAGATTATATATAGAAACTTTTAAATACTCAGTATAATAAATATATTCGTATATATTTTTTTCTTTTGTATCTGCTATATAACAATTTTAAATTTATTTTTAAATTTAATATTTAGTAATATTTAATAAATTTTTAGAAAATTACTTATATCAAATTTTTGTTAAAAACATTTAATTATTTTTTAATATTTTACTAAACAAATCTTATTTGTATTTTTAAATAAAATTGTTTAGCTTACTTTTTTTTCTTAAATATTTAAGTTTTGGATCTTAATAAGATCTAGATATTAAGAAAAGTTTATTTTTTGAATATTCTTGTTGTTACTACAATTAGAGATGTAGGCAGCACTCTTTTATTAAAATATTATAAGTGACTTAATTACTTTTTAGATATTTATATATTAATTTAAAATATTTAAATCTAGTACTAAAAGGATTATTTTTTAGAATTTATATTTTCTTTAAAATATAGTTTCTAATAAGAAAGTTTAGAGAGTTAAGAGATGTATCTGAATTTTCACATTTTACAGAGATGTATTAACATCATATTTTGTAAATTGCAATAATGTATAACTAGGTCAAATTTGTTAAAGCTTAAGAACAAGTATTATTAAATGCTTAAAAGATGTTATTTAGTGAGGATGATATAGATATTTCCTTATTAACATTAAGAAAACTGTATATTTTTTTCAGATTATTATACTTTAAGGACATTCTAAAGCAAAATGTTCTATAATTTGTATTTTATTTAAACATCAAATACATTTTTCTGTCTCTAATGATCTAATATATTTTAAATAATAGTCTAGCAAAAGTGCTCTGTAGAAAAGATGTCAAAAGATTTTTTTTTCTTATTACAAACAGACTTTAAAGAAAGTTAAATATGCTGTAACATCTATAAAGAAATTTGTAATATAGACAATGAAAAAAAGATTTTTTTAAAAGTTCTAAAATTTTTTTGACTGGAAGTTCACCTTCTTTAATTTCTTTAATTTTAATTTTATTACAACTCTAGGGCTAGTTAAAAGTATAAAGAACCTTGTCTTTGATCCTTATTTAGACCTTTAAATAAAGTTTCTATTTATTAAGAAAAGTTTTAAAAAAAATTTTTATTTTTTTATTTTTTTTAAAATAATTTATTAATTAAAGATATATATATTAATATTTAATAAAAAATTGTTTATTCAATGATATCATTAAACTGGTTGAAGTCTATAAAACATCTTTATAGGAGCTGAAGGTTAAACCAGATATCAAATATGTGTAGAGAAGTATATAACCAACCAGGCTGCTGGATTTGCTATAGGAAAAAAATATAGAAGTATACCATATCAGGTCATCTAGACTGGTAGTTTAAAAAAGACTATTAGTTTTAAGTTGTAACTAATAGAGAATGATGAAGAAGATGCTAAGAAGATAGGTATTGGAGTTCTAGTGAACTTGACAAAAATAGAAATAATGTAATATAGTAGTTAAACAGATAACTTCTGTGATTGCAAGTGTTAGATAACTATAGCATATTGCATAAAACTAGGTCTGTATGTGTAGGATATAAAGGCTTTAGTAAGTTTTTTGTCAAGAATAAAGTAGTCCTAAGAGTAATAACTAGTATCAAGAACTTGGATAGGTGTAGGCTTGAAATATTCTTGTAATATAAGGAGAATTGCATATACAAAAAGTTTAAATAAGCAAAACTCTTAGTTAATTTGCAGATATGACATCTAGTATAGAACTTATATAGTAATATATAAGCAGACTACTTAAATTAGATACCAAAAGTGCATGTATAACTAGTTGTAATCTCCAATATAAGGTAGCCTCTAATGGCATGCTGTATTTTATATATTTGAATAAAGATGTTATATCTCAAAGATAGGGACTTTAATATTAAAAAAAAATAAAATAAAATAAATATTACATTTGCTTACTTTATGTGTATTTATTTTTTTATTAAATATGATGAATTCTTTTGTATATATATATTAGATTATAGGCATCTTTATAAATTTTTTTTCATTTCTAGTAGTATTAAAAACTATGTAATTTAATTAGTTAATAATCACAAGTAGATCTATAAAATTAACTAATCAGACAAACTTCTGTCTATAAAGACAAAGGTAAATAAGTAGATACAGAAACTAGAATAGTTAAATAGGAAACCTACAAGCAGGTTTCAGATATGGCAGTTAATATAAAACCTTTAGACAGACTACTTAAATTAGATAATGACTAAAGTTGTATAAGTGGCTAGTTGTATACTCTTTTTATGATTGCCCTCTGTAGTTGTAATATAATTATTAGCCAAATATACTATTAATAAAATCCTAAGTCATAAATACTCATTTTAATATTTTAAAAAAAAAATTATAAAAAGGTCTAATTATATATACTATAACTAAATTTAATACTAATCTAAACAAATTATTAAACTACTAACTATTTTTTTTTTTTTTTTTAAGAGAAGTCTTTCCTCTAGTTCTTTATTTCAGTAATATATAATTAAGTACAACTGATACAAATTGATACATTAAACTAAGAAAATAAGGATTAGAGCTAATTTATTCTCAACCTATTCTTAGCTAGAATGGTTAAGAGACCTCTAGTCTATAGGTTTAGTAAGAAAAAATGTTTGGTTTAAATATATTAATCTATTAAGTCATAAAGTATATTGTTTATCTATAGATGTTAGTAGTGTATAGTTTAGGTTAACAGTAATAATAGTTGATGTAGATAAAATTTGCTATTGAACATATGTTCTACTTGGTTTCTATATATTTTTTTTGTAATTCAATGATAAATTTTTGGTAATAAGTTCTTTTTTAGTGAACATAGTTTATATAAGTTATTTGTTATAATTCTAATTAGTATTTGTTAATCTAAGTGAATATTTTGAATTTCTTGAGCTAGATTTGTTGATATAGTTGTTTCAATTTCATTATTTTTACAGATTTTTGTTATTGCTTTTTTTATTATTTTTTTTATTTTTACTTGTGTAGGTAGTAAGTATATGCATTGTGTTTTCTAATATGTTTGAACACTTTGCACAATATAAATT